TTTTTTTTTTTCAGAAACAAAACGACAAAACGGTTTTTAAATTCTATTTGTAACAAATTTTTCAATAATATTAACGACTCTAGAATTTTAAAACGAATAAATTATAACACGTACATTACGTTGCCTGAACTTATATTATAGCGCGATTCGGTCAACAACACTCATCTCGAGGACGGTAGCGGTGTCAGCAATAATGATGGCTGATGTTATTGGAGATTTCCTTATTAGACTGAATTTTTTTCCGTCGACACACTCTAACTCTAATTGCAATTTGAGAACAAAACCCTCTCGTCTTCTAAAGAGAAAAGAACAAAACCTTTTTGTCTTCGAAACTTCTAAAAAATATTTTACGCGAGACACGCGAGCTAATCAAATAACAATTAAATATAATGAATATCCGGTATAAATTTTTATTACTGCTTGTTAGTTCTTAAAATTGTTTTTTATCTATCTGTTGTAACAGCTACGTTAAATCTCGATTAAAGAGACTCGTTAAAAAACAATATCGATGAACATTACGATCGATCGCTCTTATTCGGATCGTTGACCGTTGGTTATTCTCGAGCGAACGTAACGCGACGGTGAAAGTCGGCGTTCCGTTAGCGGATTGAAATAAAAAAAAGCGCGAGTTAATCTCAATTAGGAATTACAATTTAAACGAAATACCGTAATCATTGTAAAACAAACGAGCCATATAGCGCACATTTTTAAACACAACATATTTAGTATTTAAGTGCAATTTGAACGAATTCGTTATTATTAATATCGATAGGGGTATTTTCCAAAATCTTACCTTGGTTACTAAAATGCTATTATTTTACGTTACTATAGTTTTTTTGATCAGCAATATAGGATTTTGGAATGTATCCCAGAGAGAACTCAGAGAACAATGAGGAAATCGCAATCTCTCCGCTTGCTCGGAGAGGTGTCCAAATCTATCTGCGGGCAACGCCGTTTCTTTCTGAAACAAAAAAAAAAAAAAAAACCTGACATTTTAATCACAACTTAGACAATGCATCGCCCGTAGAAGACGTGTGTTTTTACCTCTTCCAGATGGATTCGCTGTCGAGATTCAAACCGACGTCCAAGATAACGGGCGTGCATCGGCACGCCGCGGGCGAAACAACGGAGCTGGGCGAGGTGAATGTGACCGTGCCGAGCAGCAGCGTCGCGACGTCGATGCCGCACACGAGCAGCGAGACGTCGCCGTGCAAGAACGGCGGCTGCAAGGTCTGGAGAAACAGCCGCGACGGCAACAGCAACGAGCCGCGATCTGAGAACCCTTGGCACTCGCTCAAAACCATCTTTCTCGTCTCCGTGATCGTTGCGTTCCTTCTCTGGGTCATCGTTTACACGCTGCTGGATCAGTATCAGATTATATGACGGTGATTCGTCGTCGTGATCCCGAGCAGCTTCCGTAAACTGCCACATCGGATCCCTATCGTTTCCTCGTAATGTTGTTGTGGCCATGATTTACATAAATCATCGTCGGATCTCGCAATTTCTCTAAACGGTTTCGCGATCACTAGTAACGTCGAATCCCCATAGATTCATGTTCTCGATCATTGCGATTATCTACTATGTTAGATTTTGCGATCTCCCGCGTTTGCTCTTTCTGTGGTTTTTGAGACTCATAATCGAGTTTTTGAAATCGCGAGAGAACGATGTTCTGAAAAAAAAAAATGCTGAAGAAACGACGCGCGCGCTACAGATTCTTTATCTCGAAAAACATCGCAAAAGCGAAGCAAAACTTTTCAACTCGATGATGATCGATAAAAATCTACAGATAGATAGATCCGATGACAGTAGCGAGACGGAAAGACTCCATGAAAAGTGTCTCTTGCGTCAGAGTATTCCAATTTTAAATACTGTATATTTCGTATATTGTTTTTTAAATGTGTACAATAAGTTTGTATAAATATTTTAATAAAAAATATACATATGTGTTTTTGTGTACATAATACACGTTATATATAAAAAGCTCAAACTTAATTTTTCTTTTTATAAAAAACATGGCATTCGAAACAAGAGAATATACATGTGGATTATCAGATCCTCAGATATAAGTCAACAGGTGGATCCGATTATACGTATGTTAATTTTATCCCGACCACTTATCACGTTATACACACCATAGAACTCACTTTAATCGAAGAGATAAATACGCGCATGTGTGTGTGTGTGATAAGTGGCTATCGCGCACGAAATTAAAACTATACACTATTGTAAATAATACTGAGAGAGGCAATCCTTAAAAAAAAAAAAAAAAACGTATAAAACTTACATCGCATCTTACAAAATAATTCTATATTGATATAAAATTGGTCAAAAAGTCATTCTCTTTTTTTCTTATGGATGTCTACAAATTTTCTCTTTTTTGTGCTGAATGTAAAAATTAGACAAACAAACTTTTTGATCAATACGGAATAACATTCTACACGCTTTCGACCAGATAAATGAAAATCATGTTAATCGTAACACAGAGAAGATGACGCGAATTTATATATATAAAATTATTATTATTGCAAAAATCTCACGAAAATGCATGTATAAATATATATGAATAAATAATTCTCAATGTGCTATCGTATAAAAAGGAAGACCGCTTTTTTGCTGATATAAAAATTTGTTATCGAATTTGTAGCAAATCTCCTTCTCTGCTTTACGATACTTTTTACGCGATGAAATTGTCGTTGCTAAGAAAACAAATATGACTGTACAATCGAACATAGTGTCTCATGTATTTGACGAAACGTCCACACGTTGATGATCACGGAGAATCGTCGGCAGTTGACGCTATTGGCGACGATGTTATCGTTATTATCGAAAACGAGCAACGATCTGAGGTGGATGAGAGTCAGCGTCAACAAGAGCTGACGGTAGCGTCGAGCAGCACGGATGATCGAAAGACGCGGATGCAGCAGTATTCGAGCACGCAGACACTGACGCAGCGTGACGTTGACGAGGAGGAACTGGAGAGAGAGGAACCGAACGACAACGTGATTATCCATTTTACGCGCTTTTCATCGCGAGAAAGCGAGTATCGATATCGGACGCGCGTATGTTTTCAGATCCCAGCGGCAACGGAAAGACGAGTGTCACCGAGGATGATTGTGATCGGTTGGGACAGGTTCCGTTCGAGGCTGATGTTGTTTCTGATCGGGTGTCTCCTGATCTGGGCCTGCATCTTCTTCCCGCTGCTCGGTTCTTGAAAGCTGCCTCGTTTCGTTGTTGCGGACAACACGTTGATAAAAAAAAAAAAAACGCTCAATCGATCGCTCAATACGATTCGAAACGACGACATTCAATATACACGTTTCACACACACGTGACATTCACATTTTTACGTACATATATAAAATACCACGTCAAATAACATAATAACTTCACATTTTTGGTATAACTTATTTACATGTGTAATACAATATGTCATGTATGCGTTTAAGGTAACATTATTTTAACCGTATGTAATCCTATAAATATAATTTCTACGCGTAAACGCCCACATGGTTCTTTCGGAAGAGAAAAGATGAAAAAAAATTATCGCGCTTCCGAATCGAAGCCGCGCGTTTATGTGTTTCATTTTTTCATATCGACGTTTTGCTTCCACTCAGGGTTAAGAGCAGATATTAAAAAGAAAAAAAAAAAAAGATAAACACTCAAATCTTAGGAAACAAACTCTGAGAATTATTTTATACTTTAGTTTATACAAAACATCTTCGTTGTATAGTATAATTTTTATTAGATGTTCAAATTAGTTTTCGAATTTGTGATATTTTTTTTCTCAAAGTCGCGAAAAGATCTAGTCATCACAGTGGCCGTCATGGTTTGTCCGATATCCGTCACTTAAGAAAACTCACACTTGGACGTGACAAGAACAATCGAAAAAACCAATTTGTACATCTAATATTTAGCGCACACGTTAAATTTTTCACGCAGAAACGTATACAAAGTGGTAAAAATTGGTAACGTACAATGGCAAAATGTTCTTAATTGACGATTATATAAATATATGGTTTATAAATATTATAGTATTTTTTTTTTTTTTTTTTTTTTTAGCATAAATACGATAAGTATAACAACGCTGCGTCTGTACGATACAACAACTGCTGCGGCAGACGCTGTTGACAGAAAATCTTCCTTCACAAAATTATATTTACAAAATCAAGTCCACGTGTTACATCTAACTGTATTTGCGAATTCTTCATTCACGTGAACGATCTATCGCTTTGGTTATGGAATGAGAACATATTCGTTAAGTGCCATCCTCGTCGCAGAGTTTCCATTTTTAACGTTAAATCACATCTCAACACATTGACACTCTCATCTATAAATTCTTTCAAATATATAACAAATAATAATACGATGAATGTCGTTTCCCTCGTTCGTTGTTTCAAAAACGTTGTAATATTAATTAACTTATATACGTATTACCTTGAAACCGTTCTGTTTGTTGCTGGACGAGCGACGTTGCTTCTCTCGGGAAACCTTTCTCCGCAAGCTCGACCTCTTTATCGACTCCGCGCTCGCGCTCAGGCTCATCGGTTTCGAGGAAGCTTGAACAGGAAAAGTTGAACAAAAACCTAAAGAGGCAAGAAGAACGACTCGATAATTTAACCCAGAAACCAGAAAAAAATTGTTGATACGAGCCACACTTGTCAATTTCTTCTTTCTCTGGTGTTTTGAGTTAAAGACACATTTAAAGAATTTTCAAAATCGCTCGATTTCCGATTGTTTACCGATATTGCCGGAGGACGACCTATTCGAATTGTGCAGAACGTGTATCGTGGTGGGCTCGCCGGTCATCTCTCCCCTCACGGGCGAGAGAAACCACTCGGATCTGGTTCGCATCCGCTCGGTTTGCCTCTCGTGAACCTAACGATGTAACGATAACGCCAATCAATTATCTTCTCGCATTAATTTCGCGTCGTTTATTGTTCGGTAGAAATTTGCTCGCCCTAAATAAGAGCGCTCACGAGTTTCTTCAAGCTGTGAAAACTTTTTATAAAAAAAGAACACGTGAAATACATATTAAGTAACGCTCTATTTCATTCCGGTGCTAGGTCAAACTCGTCGTTAACTAGTCGACAATGTTAGTGCGATTTACCTGCGGCATGTACGTGAGATTTCTGGTGCTCTCGGCGTAGCGGTTTATCGCGCGCAGCTCGTCGAGTCTCGTGCTCGTCAAGCTGAAGCTTCGTTTGGAAAGATGGCTGTTGCTGCTGGCGCTGTTACTCAAAGAACGACTAGATATCTGTAAAATTTCGAGAAAATCGACAACATCGCGTCTCTCATAATCTCAAAAGCATGTTACGTTTGAAAACTACCTGCGCAAAGCTCTCCTCGTCCACACTGACCGAGAGACGTTTGCAATTTTCGAGCAAAATGTTCTCCGGAATCATGCTCAATGATGACGTGAGTTTCATCGTTTCAGGTACGTGGACCAACGCCAGCGTTGATTGCGATTGCTCTTGATGCAGTATTTCTGTCACACGTGATGGTAATTAAATTTCAATGTATAAAAGTTTTTAATTTATTTGCGCAAGATTATCCCGTGTAATGTACTCGTAGATAAAATATCGGGAGCTTTATTATTAGCTAAACACACATGTGCAACTTACTATCTAAATTAAACTTCAGTCCCCACTTTACACACTCGCATTGTAATCGCGTTTTCTCCGTTTCCACCGATAAACCTTGTTCTGTAATTTATAAACGCGCTTGGGAGAAATGGTCATCATAAATTGGTCGCAGATGCGCGTTTCGGAGAAATTAGTCGCATTATTTGTCATAAAAACGCGCTCCGCACGTGTGAAAGCTTACTCGTTTCGGGATCGTCTGAAGCGTATCGGAAATTAAATATCCAGTCTTTTTCCACCTTCATTATCCGGCCGGTAATACGTGCGTAATATTCGTAATTGTCTTTTCCAAATAGATTCAACACGCTAAAGTTATCTATTAAGAACTTGGTAACTCGTGTGGCGATCTGGAAATGAATTGTCGAGAAGAAGAGAAGAAGAGTTATTCGAACGTGACGATAACAAAAGAGATACGAGAAAGTCGTTGTTGTGCCACTGACCTTAAATCTGACAACGTCTTCCACTTTGGCGGTCTTTCCGTCGCTGACGCAGCTGTGAAAAAACGAGGGTGCGACGGAGACGCCCAATGCTTCGCTGTTCATATGCGTTTGCGCTAACTCGCTATTCACCGCGATCAATCTGAAGGTTCCGAAGAGCAATACCAGCAATCGCTGCGTGTACAGCTGCAGGGAATTGATCAATCTACGCAGAAACACACACGTGTCTTTGTTATATAAAATGTTATATAAAATTCTGCTCGTGTTTATTTCGTTGCATCAATTGATTTATATTACGTGTATATTTGGTCTCGTTGTTGTTCTATATTTTCCAACTGAATGATGTTAAACAACTGTTCCTCGTATTCCTTTCCGAATATTCCTCCGGGTATCTTGCACAAAAACTTCTTTATCACGCTGGCAATCGTGTAGATACTAAAGTTGTTGATATTAACTAGCCGACCCGTCTGCAGAATATGTATCAGCTTTTTCATACTTCCCTGATGGCCGGGAGCGCGAAAAATATTTTTCGCGAAGGGAGCTTCCTTGTTCAATATCAGGATGAGAACCTAGAGAACACAAATTAAACTCTCGTTGTCATCTTTTGCAATTGCCCACACCTTGGACGGTGTTAACAAATACAGTTTGTCGCTCACTCACCAGCAACGGACCGGGGATGTCGTTCTTGCATACTTCATCGAGCGGCACTCCGAACTTGACTCTACGAAAATAAAAAATAAAAAAAAAAAAAAAAAAGATTCGAACGTTAATTTTTCCAACAGGCAAATTTCCAAATTCGATTTCAAAGACGATAGCGGAATACAATTGCAATTGAAAAACTCTGGCTGTAACCAAAGCAAGTTTTTTATCTCTCTAAAAACGGGCGCTCTCACAAGCACACATGTTGAATTAAAGGCTTTCGTGGCTTCGTGCGTTTCGATCTTTACGAAATAACGGCGCTACCACAAATATATGTAGTACTACTATATAAGTACGCTAAAAACAAGTAGCTTCGCATGTAATTCACAACGCTAATTATCGTGATGTGCTTCGAGAAAAAAAAATATCAACACGCATTAGTAACATACGTTTACACGTAGTCTCTCCCAAACTCGGCGATTACTTACGATTCTACCCACGCTCCTTCAACGCAGAACGTCAAACATACAACGCAGAATGCCAATAATATTCGCTCGATATATTGTTAAATATCAATTATCTGCGAAAAAATGTAAATCTTTTATTATATACCCGAATTCATCGTTCCTCATCGTGTGTATGTGTGCATAACACACACTGTCTCTTTATGATGCGTTTATGGCTCTACGTAGGTCTCTCATTATATAATTGTTTTTCTATACACTGTTGTGTAATGTAAAAAAAAAAATATAACACACATATATATACGTATGTACACATTACATATATGAACACTAAAGGGCTGTAAATGTTCTATCGTCCATAAAAAATCAATGGATGAACACTACGAGCCCTTAGGTGTATAATTAAAAAAATTATTTAGTATTATTATACCCAAGACGTTACAATACAAATTTATATACGTGGCCTTCGAACTAGCACATGCGCGCGCGATTACACGTAAGCAATAAAAATTAAATTATTGTATTTCTCAATTATTTATTACAAAGTACCCTTTTCTTTTTGCAAATTCGAACACATGCCAGCACGTTGAAAATAAATTTATATTCGAGATGAATACGAGAATCATGCATTTCGTAAAATGTGCGCGATTACAAATATTTTCGCAAAACATGAGTCTGAATAATTTCGAAACGCAAATATAAATTTGAAGAAAGAAACAATGTATTTCGAATCAATCAAAAATATGATAAAAGATGAGTAATTCAGTGACTCAGACGACATACTAACTTTTCGAGGCGTTTCGGACGATACCGTTGCCTTGAGGTGGAATGTCCACAACCTGTTACAATATTTCCCAATGTAGTGGCGCGCAGATGGATTCTTTCTGTCCAATTGCTCATTTCATAAGTAAGGAAGACAGTTTAACCACAGACTAATGATTGATTTGTTTTTATCTTCCAAAAGAAGCCAAGTTCTCTCTGAACACCGCAGGTTGTCCATAGACTGGTTGACACTGAAAAGACAGGTCGTTTACTTATCACTTTCGCATCTTTCCTACAACTGTAATTTGAAGATATTTGTTGCTCTGAACGTTTTTTCCTGTTGTCTAATAATAAATCTAATAACAAATTATAGATACACTAATTATATTACTAATATATTGTTTTTTTTTTTTTTTTTTTTTTCACACAGTATGTTTGTTCTTGCTTTATCTTATCTTTGTCATCAGTATTGTTGCATTAATTAAAATGTTATTTTTGTTAAAAAGCGCACATATATTCTACACTTAATTGTTTGCCATACATATTTATGGCAAACAATTTTTACACGGAATTAAAAATGAATTAATAAAAATAGTAAGCAAATAAACAACATCCAATTCTGCGAGAGTTTTGTACAAATCGTTATTTTCTCTTGCGTTAAAGTTAATGTGCAAAATAAGACAAACTGTGCATGTGATGATAATTAACGCACCACACAAAACAACTTCGATACGAAGTCACGGTGAACGATTAAAAATCGTGTATTTGTCTACCCCAGTCGCAATTTCACTTTCAACTTTATTGTCTTACGATATCGCAAGCGCGCGCTACGATTTCAAACCGATCGATACGCGTGCGAACAAGTATAAACAAGATGGACCGAAATCGCAAGGAGAGATATAAGCGGAAGAATGTCGACGGATTGTCGGCAGGAAAAATAGAAGAAAACCGAAAAAGTCTGAAACGAAAAGTCCAGAAACGACCCTAGCCCGTCTCTCTTGCACGGGAGACCGGCACACGTGAAATAATGCGGGAGAAGAGGGGAGAGAGAGGGAAAGAATCTTACCGCAGGACGCGAGGACGGCCAGGATCCTGCCAGCGTGCGAATTCCGTTCCGAGGAGGAAGCGACAGCCCGTTCTTCTGGCTGTGTGTATAACCTAAAACCGCACGTGTCGAGTCGCGACGAACAGAAAATCTAGAAACGGGCGGACACGAACGGAAACGCGACCGGAGCGTCTACGTTTCCATGGAAATGTCACCGCCGCGAAACCCGAGCGCCAACGTCGGTCCACGTCTTCCGCGTGTATGTTGTATAGCAGAATGCACGTTTTCTCTTTCGTTTTCTCGAGCGCCGCGATGTGCACGTCTCTGCGGATGTGAACTACGTAACCACGTGTGTGTCGACCAGTAGATAAAAAAAAAAACGTCCTTCTAAGCACCGCACGGAATTTTCTGGTTCCGTTCTCTGCTGAATAGAAAATTTAATAAGAAAGAAATTCAGATACAATTAGCGAATATTAAGAGATACGTAGTAGTTTTGCGTAACAACAATGTGTGTGTAATATAAAAAAAAAATTTATTTAGATTTGTAGAGGTCGCAGCAATATTATTTACCCGTGTGTTTACCGTGTGTGTTTTACTTACAATAAATATAATTTTATTTGTTCTAATTAAAATTTTGGCGTATATATATATATATATATATAAATAAACACACACATGTACACTATTTATAGAGTAATAAAATACTTTTCTCTTCAGCATTTACTTTTTTTTTTTTTTTCGACATTAATCAGCGTTTCTTTTTGTGCTTGTGCGATCTGTCCTTGTGCCTCGCTTCGTCCTCGTTTTCTGTCCTTCTCTTCTTGCCGTCACGATACTCGTCTCTTTTCCTTTCCGACCTTTTGTCGCCGCGATCTCTTCTCTCATCTCTCTTGCTTCTCCTATCCGATCTCTCCTCGCTCTGATTCCTCCTCTGACTGCCGTCCCGTCGATCGTCTCTCTTTCTTTTGTCTCTGCGTTCGCTGTCGTATCTGTTCCTCTCGTAATGATCGTCGTGCAATCTGCCTTCCTTTCTCCTGTCCCTGCTATCTCTCTCCTCTTTCCCGCTCTTGTGCCTCTTGTGCTCGAAAGAACGATCTTTTCTGCTCTCCTTTCTTTCCGCATTTTCTTCGCTCTCGTCGTGATTCTGTTTCTTCTTGTCGTCCTCGTCGAAGTATCGGATACCCTTACCCTTACCTCTCCAACGCATCTTCGCGACCGATTGGGAGAAGTCCACGTGTATTCTTCGATCGTCAATCAGAACATTGTCCATCTTGAAGTACGCTTCCTCGCAGCTCTTGCGATTGGCGAATTCAATGAACGCGTACTGCAACGAATCTCCCGTTTGATGATCCCTTATTACCTCGCAACTGGAAAATTAAAAACGTACGATGAAAATGAAAACACAGAAACTGAGAACACAGATGTGTACACATAACAAATTTCACTGCGTTTGTCACGCACCCAACAATTTTTCCGAAACGACTGAAAATTATTTCCAGATCTTCGTCGTTCGTGACCGGATTCAATTTGCACACAAACAACACATTTTCCGGAGGAGCAATGTCCGCGTCTGGTATGTCACCTACGATCTCCAATATTGTGGCTCTGGCTTTCGCTTCCTTGTTTTTCTGCAATTCAATGATCTCTTCCGTGGTCATCCCCACGGTGTCATCGAGCGCCTCGTCTGCTCCGATTCTATCGCTCTAAAATATAAAATGAGATAAATTTATATATAGAAAAATGTTTACCACACAAAAAAGATGGAAATGTTTCGAGGATAGAGATGTCAAATATATTAAAATACTAATATAAAACTCAAGAAGACAAGTATACCATTAAAACTTCTTTTGTAGGTTCCGGACTTGCGCTAGGAACTACAAATCCTACAGGATCGTCAAACGGATCTTCCAAAATGACCGTGTGAGATATCCATATATCCTGATAAGGTCTGTAATTGTTATCACAGATTGTTTCATTAAATTTTAAAACAACATCTAATCCCTCAGTGATTTCTCCAAACACACAATGTTTGTTGTCCAACGATTGGAGCTCCGAACCCAGTGTGATGAAGAACTGAGATCCCAACATGTTGTTTCCGCAATTCACCATGGACAGTAGACCTATTCTGCTGTGTTTTATCTTTGGCATTTGTTCGGCCTCGTAATAACGAGCCTTTTCGCCCAACACAATTCCGTACACACTCTCGCCACCTTTTCCGGTGCCGTTGGGATCTCCCGTTTGAGCGATAAAGTTGGTCTGCACCGTGTGAAAGAGGTTCCAGTTGTAATACTTGAGCTTGCATAATTTCAGAAAATTTCTTGTAGCTGCAGAAATCAAAATAAATGATGTTCGCAATTTACAGAGTTACAGTTTAAGTTTGTTATCTCAGATTTTTTAACAAAATTATATGTAAACGCGATATAAATTTCTTAATTACTCCAAAAAAGTAGAAGCGCCTTACTTTGAGGACGTTCTTCGATGTACAGGTCGACCGTAAAATCTCCTATTGTGGTTTCTATCACCACTGCCATTTCCTCACTTTTTCAAACTATCTATTTTTTTAATTAGCAATATTTAACTCTTGTTATAAAAATGTTACGCTTTGTAAACTTCGTGGAGTTTTGCTTGGAAACATTAGATCGTTGACGTAAAACTCACTGATGCTCCGCGGTATATAAAAGCTCGTTAAAGTCGGATTTGCAACGGTCGTGTTCAACACGAGTCGAACTTGCGAAATTGACCAATACTGCTGGTCGAATCAATCAATCCGATTGGGTCGTTCCGACTTTTGATCTTTGCAAATCCGGCCTGCTCTTTTACTTTCTTCGCTGCTTTTCAGATGGCGTCGTAAGGATTTTTAATCACGTCAGTCAGGCATATTTCTTTCGTCCGACATCGCTTGGAGTAAAACGTTCTTTCTGGATATTTCTGTGAAAGAAACTCCGTCAGGATGGGTCGTATGCACTCCCACGGGTAACAATGTTTATTATATTGAGAAATTTGTAAATGCGTCAATTATCTTGAAAGCTTTGTAACAATTTTGACAGAATCGTAATTTTCGATATCGCGTTCAGCAACCACGTGTCGCGTCTCCGTTCTCTTTTTTTCTATTCAAATAAATGTTCCTCAGGTTTTTATTTAATCGAATCTATTATTTGAAATCGTCTTAAGTGTATTTGACTTTAAGGAAATTTATAAATTTCTCATTCGAAGCCCGCACACAATCGTTTGGTGTGTATAACCTAACTTAACCTCAAATGTCAATAGTCGAGTTCAATATGTGCGCGATCAAAAATCTAAAAATTTACGACATTTGTATCGAAGTAAAAAATCTCTGTCATAATAAATTATATATTATGTTAATTATATCATTTTTTTAATATGAATTTTAAATTTAAAAAAAATTTAAAATTACCGTACTTCATTAATATGTTGTTTTTTTCAGAAAGGGTATATCCCAGTCTGCCCTTCCCTACCGACGAAGTGTACCAACTTGGTTGAAGTTGACGCCAGAAGATTGCAAAGAACTTATTTACAAGCTAGCGAAAAAGGGACATACACCATCACAAATTGGTAAAATTGTTAGGTTTTTTTTTTTTTTATTAATAAGACGCATAGGTTTTAAGCAATCAATTAAGAGTGCGTTGACACAGATCATCAAGTTTACAAAACTATAAAGTGTTGCGTTTGCAGGTGTTATACTTCGAGACTCCCACGGTGTGGCTCAAGTGCGATTTCGCACAGGAAACAAGATTCTGCGTATCGTGAAGAGTATGGGTCTGGCCCCGGATCTACCGGAAGATCTGTACTATTTGATCAAAAAGGCTGTTGCTGTACGAAAGCACTTGGAACGAAACAGGAAAGACAAGGACAGCAAGTTCCGCTTGATTTTGGTCGAGTCGAGAATTCACAGATTGGCACGTTATTATAAAACAAAAGGATCCCTGCCACCGAACTGGAAATACGAAAGTTCGACGGCTAGCGCTCTTGTGGCGTAATTTTATCACATTTATGTTTTATTATAAAAATAAAAGAAAATAACACAATTACACACATGTTCAAAATAGATGTATCCTTTGTCTCAAAAAGTGAGAAAAGACGCAAATATTGAAACTGAAAACAAGTAACACACCAGTTAACTAATTATGTAAACACAGGAGTTCATAATTAAAAAAAAAGATTAATTTCTCTATTAAATTTAAAATTCAGTTTTGATCTTTCTTATATTTAAAGAGGCATTTGGACCGAAAAGTGCGCGTTTGAAGTCGAATATATCGCACCTGTTGTTGCCTCTTTTCCGCGTTGCCGATTGGAATCGAATCGGTAAGATCGAGAGAGTAAATAATAAAAGCGATTTTGAGACAGTTCGTCGTATATGTAGAGAAAATTAAAAACGTAACTAAAGTCAGGTGACAGGAAAAGTAGAAAAACAACACGTGAAAATAACGTGACTGTAATTTATATTATATATAACATTAAATAATACATATTATACATATAATTTATTATATATTTATAATATTATACTTTATATTGTATTATATGTATTATATACATACTACAGTAATGTCACTGACCTCGGCCGCGCGGCCTTGACAGGGTCACTGACCTCGGCCGCGCGGCCTTGGCGGGTCACTGACCTCGGGCGCGCGGCCTTGGTGGGGGGAGGTCACTGACCGCGGGCGCGCGGGCTTGGTGGGGGAGCGGTCACTGACCTCGGCCGCGCGGCCTTGGAGGGGGGGGGGGTCACTGACCTCGGTCGCGCGACCGCGGCGGGGTCAATGACCTCGGTCGCGCGCTGCAGTGGAATCACTGACCGCGGCGGTGTTACTGACTTCGGTCACGTGATTACGGTATATATATTTATACATATATGCGTATGTGTGTGTATTATATATAGATATAGAATATTACATATAATAGTGTTACGCGGGGGTCACCGCGTATGTGTCGCGGGAGCTGCGTAAACGGCGCGCGATCGGCGCGACTGTCGGTTACCGGGCGACGACGGTTTGTTAAAAAGAAGAGAAGAGGATAGAAAAATCGCGACCGCGGATCTGTCACGACGTGTCTCGACGATTCGTGTAACGGGCAATTAACGCTGTATTTGTAACGAAATAAAGTGTGTTCATAAGAAAGTGCGCCTTTGTCATTGCCGCGTCCGCGCACGCGAGTATCGGCGTCCCTCGAGAACGGCTCCGCGCCCCGCGGGCGCAACAATATATATAATATTCTCTTTTTTACCCTTTTTTTGTCACGCGACTTTAGTCACGTGTTGTTTTTTCACTTCTCTCTTACTATTTTTTGAGTTTGATTTTCATGCGTTATTTGTGACGTTTCTCATATGTGGTTTATATTATATGGTTAATAAGATGTATATACTATCTGTCATCGCGGTGACAGGTTGTGTTCACTGACAACACGTTAAATAAAATTAACAATAGCGTGCGCGTAGCGCGCGCCTGTGTTGTGTCTAGTCAGAAAAAAAGTAGATCTTGTTTACAATGACAGAAACCAATCGCGTTCCGACACTCGGATCGAGAGGAGACTGACCAATTATGTGTGCGAGCGGTCGTTCTCTATTCGATATTTCGAATCGATTTCCAGCGTCATGAACACAAGACTTATGTCTTGTAACTTCGGGATCTGCAGTTGTTGACAGTTGACGCGCACCTGTTAAGAAGGATGGATGTGCTCGAGTTGACATTGTGCGTTCTACTGGCCGTTGTCGCGTCATCGTGCGCGGACGAGCAGACCATATCGGAAATACCTTTTACAAGGGAAAAAGTATGCAGTGCACAATAAACAACACTGACATTTCTTGTTACGCTCATCTCCTCTCACAGTGAAGAAAGACTCGCGCTCATTTTTACCGATATTGTCTTCTTCCTCATTTGCCACGTTTCGCCGCCGGTTGACATTTACTTGCGTTTTTGACGAATGTCGTGTTGTTTGACATGATTCCAGTACTATCATGAGCCCAACCGACTGACGGACGAGCAAATCGCCAAACTGACCGATCTCACGAACATCACTCATCTCAACGAAGTCCTGGACAACATATGCGTGGTCAGAATTGTGGGAACTCCCGAACACGCAAATGTAAAAAAGGTAAGGAGCAAACAAGTAGCATTTCGACATAGACATATATATATATATAAAATAGAAATTGCGAGGTAACGAGCTCGCGACGCTTACAGATCTAAGTAACCTCGCTTACAACGATAACTTTCACATCTGCGTTGCGTAATATGTTTGTTTGTTTTTAATCGCGTACATCTCGTGTATACAATGTTACATACGTATAATATTGACGTCGTGGCACTTATGTTTGTGTGAAATAAATAAATAATATTTATGAGAAATTGTATTCTAGTAGATTTTTTTTAAATTTTGAACTGTGTAAACATGAAGATCCATTTTTTTTTTTTCAGTATATCAAAAGATCAATGAGAGATCTAGGATGGACAGTAGAGTCAGATGTATTTCAGGCTCAAACGCCTATATTTGGCGTACTGAAGTTTGAAAACATAATAGCAAAGTTGAATCCTAATGCGAAAAGGTACTTAACATTGGCCTGCCATTATGATTCGCTGTATACAAGAGAGAGAAACTTTATCGGAGCCACAGACAGCGCTGTGCCGTGCAGCCAGCTAATTAACTTAGCTAGCGTTATGAAAAGATACTTATCTAAACAGGTACATTGTACAGACTAAAGATAGCAATATTACAATTTACATTACAATTGAAAATAGATAAAACGAGATTGTTATTTTTCCAGCAAGATGTCAGCTTGATGTTCATCTTCTTTGACGGGGAAGAAGCATTTGAGAGATGGGGACCAAATGATTCTATTTATGGTGCAAAACATTTAGCTAAAAAATGGTATAATACAAAGAGTGTTTATAAAAATACTAATATTTCTGAACTGGATAAAATGGTAAATATCTTGTTACGAAATTTTCTATTTTCTACATAACTGCTGTAACTGCAATGTATATTTATATTTTGTAGGACATGTTGATGCTTCTTGATTTACTGGGCGCACCTGACCCGATCTTTTATAGTTATTTCAGAGATACGGAAAAATGGTACAATTTATTAGTACGCATTGAAGAGAAATTAGCGGATATGAGAAAGTTGCAGTCCTATTCGTATGGCAAACCGGAACAGAGGTATTTTCGGTCATATTCGACTCATTCGTACATTGAAGACGATCACATTCCCTTTTTAAGAAAAAGTGAGTGGTAACTAATTAATGATTACATAGAATTTCACGGAGAAGTGTCTAATTTTTGTTCTACATATCTTGTTTTACATGCAATGTTGCTTTATCTCAGATGTGCCTATTTTACATATCATTCCGAGTCCGTTTCCATCTTTTTGGCACCAATCAGGCGACAATCGGTCCAACATCGATCTAGAGACCACGGAAAATATTAGTAAGATACTGAGGATATTTGTGGCTGCTTACTTACATTTATCGATTGTCTAATTCTAATGCAAATTCAAGGAGTCTTTCGTGAACAAACGATCAAAAGAAAAACGCTAAATAACAAAAAAATACTAAAAATTATCTGAAGTAGCAGTGAGAGAGCAAAGTATATTATAAACAATTTCAAATAACGCAAAAGTTGGAAATGATATGTTTTTGATATTTTTTTGTTATTTAGACTGATGACTCATTTCGCTGTGCGTAGTTTTCTTAGTGAAAAACGTGATAACTTTTTGTACAGGTGTATTATATATATACATACTTATATTATACGTATACATACATACATGTATATGTATATATAAATTGAATTATTTATATAAAACTAATTTATACAATATTTTAAATTAAAAAAATTATATATTGTATATTGCGGAAATATCATAAAAGACAGAATGGTGCTATATTTGTAAAAGTTATTGTCGATTTTGAATATTATAATTGTATATAAATACTCAACATATGCTGCAAACAAAACAAATATATATATACGTTTTCCACTTTTGAACCATCTGATTTCACTGACGTTTCTCGCACGCGTCTCGCACGTGACACATTTCGTTTCAATTGCGCGCATATTTTTTTTTTTTGTCTTTACAAGTGAGACATTTGAGATTACGATTTAGGAATCCGCGAACGGAAATTGCGGAAACTCTGCGGCGTGACGTCCTGTTACATGTTTGGAATGAATTAATCCATCTGTGTGTCCCTCATTAACATACGCGCAATGCAAATAACATTTGACGCGGTGGAAATTAATTTCTACTTCGAATAAAAAAATGGTTAACGAGCGTTTCACATGTTAATTCTATTCTGTAATACACCGAAGTACTTGTATCTCATTGGAATATATTTGCTGCAATATGTTACATCGCGCGCGCGGTAGTTGGTTGATAAATTTGTCATTCATGCGTTCCTGAATTTTTTATCGCGCGACAAGAATTTTGTTTCGATATACCTCGCGCGTGGCGTCATCGCCAAAGAAAACCCACAATTTTGGCGGTAAAGTTGAGATATCGTTGTCATTCAATTACGTTCGGTAACGCGCGCGTGTATCTCTCTAATCGAATGGTAACTGCGCAGTTACATTTTGGACAAAAGTATTCAATGTTTCTCAAAAATGTACAACTGTTCGTTCCACGTCTAAAGAAAATATAAGTCGCAAATACTATATGAATATAATAAATAATATAAACTATGAATATTAGAACGCGCGAGTGTGAAAGTGCTTGCTCGAGCAACGCCTTAAACGCTCGCGCATTCGCATTGTCGAAAAACGTTCTTGTTCGAGCGCCATGTTTCGTTGTTCGAAACATAGAAATTTCATGGGGGCATATCGCAAAATGTCGTGTAGCATTTAAACGACGGAAAGGATCGAAAGGATCGTTCGAAAACTATTTCTTCACGGTTGGCAATGGCAGGGCACCGTTCGAGGTCATTGTTCGTTCGGGCGCGCCCGCCGAGCGGCGCCGAGCGCGAACGAACGCTTTCGGAGGAGACTGACGAAGGGGGGCCCCGGAGACACGACGGGAGAGACAGACGCGAGCAAGCGACGTGGAGAGACCGCGCGCCTTCGTGTCCGTGCGTTTCGATGGTGGTTCTGCGTTCCGTTTGCGTATCTCGCACGTTTCCTCACGTCCGACGGTGCATCGAAGGAAAAATACTCGGCGCCACGATCGCGCGTCTCCGAATTTGGCCCAGCAACGCGCGCAAGAAAGGATATTCCCGTGAACGTTAGTGAACGCGCCGGAGCACATCTGCACACACGGCGATATACCGCGAGCTGACACATCGCGATCTCCCGAGCGCATCGGGCCGCGCCGCGAGTGAGAGAGAGAGAGAGAGAGAGACAGAGAGACAGAGAGAACAAGCGTCCGAGCGGGAAAAGTCGCGGCGCGAAAGAGAGGGACAGGAATATTGTATATGTGTGCGTGAGATTGTTGTGTGCGTGTGTGTCAGACGTGTATCCGAGGTGCTCGCTTGCGCGCGCGTCACCGAGAAAGCAAGCACACACTCCGACTCGAAACAAATAACCCGGCGACGTAACCGCCGGCATCCCCGGCGGTCGTTCATTCAAGAATGCATTAATTACGCGCGACCGGCAGTTATTAACCAGCCGTGCGTGCGTGCGTGTTGTGTGTGTCCGACGAGCCCGCGATACACCACCCTCCTCGTGGTGCATTATTACGGGGAAAGAGAGAGAGAGAGCGCGCGACGCCGTGACCGGAGTCGAAGATGCTCAAGTTCATCAGGGGGAAGGGCCAGCAGCCCACGGCCGAGAGGCAGAAGCTGCAGAAGGATCTCTTCGCTTTCAGGAAGGTGAGTAAAGAGAGAAAAGGAAGAGAAAGAGAGAGAGAGAGAGGGAGAGGGAGAGATGGAAAGAGACATTTGCACACAGGTTCTCCTCGCCCACACCCGGCGCGAAACGCGCCCAAGTTGCGGGACGAATGTCCTGGCGACGACGACGTTGCCATGTCAGTTTGATCAGGATGCCTTTTTGTTTTTTTTTTTTGTCGGCTGGTCATTCAAGATAGGTTTCCGATGAGTCACGCTCGGTGTAATCAGTGATCGAAGTTTTGAACGTCCAGATGGAGCGTAATAACGTAGGAAAAATTTGTGTTACACGTGTGTCTGAACAAAGGCGTCGTAAAAAATTCGCATGTGTCTCTCAGATTGTGAGATTCTTGCTTCTTGTCAGACCTGCGTCAAGAGAAATTTGAACTTGCTATTTTTACAGTTTTCGATACACGACGGTTGTAATTCTGTGTACTCTCTCTTTTTCTCTCTCTCTCTCTCTCTCTCTCTCTCTGTCCCAAGCAACAAACCTGAAATTTTCACGCTGAAATTATATTTATTAAAATACAAAGATGTGTATGTATGTATGTATTTTCACGCTCTCTGCTTTTCGCCTTACACAATTTTAAAAATGTTAAAAATTTTCAATCTAAAATTGTTTTAATATCTAACTTTTAATATAAAAAAAAATATATTTAACAATTTTACAGATGAGAAGTAGATAAAAACACTGATTCTATTTTGAAATAAAAAACAATTGATGATCTAGAATTATGTAACGTGTAATATAATGTGGTTCAAAAAGATTTTACTTTTACCTGACAACATGGAAGGAAACGCGTTAGCTTCGCTCAGGTTCGAGCGATTCGTCTCGTCGTCGGGGGGGAAGTATCGGGTTACTTACCTGTACCAATGGTATCTTTTTATTGTCCACTCTAGTGTATATTCTCTTCTACACCCGGTGCTTCTCGCCCGTCTGACTCGACCGTGTCTTTCAAGTTTCGCGTGTAATCACGACGCAATAATTTTCACAATGTAGTATCAGCTGTTCCAGAAAAAAAAAAATATTCGTAAAAAAAACTTACACACACGTGTTGTGCGCACACAACAAGAGCTACTACACCAGTTAATGAGATTCCTCTGACTCTTCGTTACGGGATTTACTGTGTACACAACTGTAACGCTTTGTTGGCAGTTTGCACAAAGCTATTTGAAAAACAATGATGCTCAAGTATTTATTTATTTTTTTTTTAATCAAATTTAAAGAATGAGGCTATTAAATTTTTTGTAAAGTGTAACTCGCAGTAAGTTATTTTTTACTCGGAGATTCCACATTTCATTAAAAAACTATCTACGGATAATTATTACAAGAGTGTTTATAAATATAAAAATAATATCTGTAAGCATATTTGTTGTAAATCCACGTTTTCTAGAATTCTACAATTACATATCATAGATTAGTTAAATATTATATTAATTACATATAATATATACATATGTGAAATTTAAAATATTTTCTCGTAAAAATCACATGTTCGAACTGCGCGTCGCACAGTATCTATAATTTTGTAGAAAGCCTTGGGAAGGAGGAGTCTTAAAAATACATCTTGTGTCATTTTGTTGTTGATTATCTCATCGAGATAAAACCTCGAAACCTTGGAAACTACGCGTTTTATCTTTGTAGATACGAGACGCATCGATCATGTTTTTTTTTTCTCAAAAAAAAACTTTTTATTCGGACAAAATGTCGATTTGTATGTTGCAGCGTTTAACAAATTTGCAATTAGTTGATTGTGTGCAAAAATATTTGCGGTTACCAGACGGACGGTATTGCATATCGTCGGCTCATTAATTCTCATTATTTATTCGTTACTCAATTCAACCGTTTCAAAGCGTACACGTATAATAGTATGTGTATGTTCACGTCTCGAGTATCGTAAGCGGGTACGCGTTCAGCGCGGAAGACACGCTTCGAGAAGCTGGCGATATTATCTGACGTATCGGGGAATATGCTGCGTTTGCTTTACGAAATGCCGCACGAATAACCACGAGGAAAGAATGCGACGTATAAAAGTTGAGCAAAACTTTCGGGAGGACTCTCTCAGGTGCACATTTAGTTTTTCGCGCATTGCAGTCGAAACTTCAAGCTGTACATGTGACGTATCGTCGGGAGGAAAACATTTTACACGATTTTTGTTATACGTATTTTTTTCTTAATTTATATTTTTCAACTTCTTATTTTTTTTTGTGGTTTTTCCTCGACCGATCGTTGAATCGCTCTGTTGGAATTTGTCTTAATCGCAGTAATATTTATCAAGCTGAGTCCAGTTTGCGGGTTTTCGAGGATATTAAAAATTAATTAAGGACCGTAATGTATTTTTTCAATAAAAATTGACTTGCGTGAAATCGTGGAACTTACGGAAATATGTGACGAAACACAGAATTTCAGCGGGAATATAAACGAACGTAACGTAATTGCAACTTGTTGAATATATACTTTTGTCTTCGCGCGTTTCCCCGCAATACATAACATATCGCCAAGAAGGTGCGGAAGAATGGCCGTTAGGCGAGATACGCACGTCGACGATGAAGCGACATTTGACTGACAATAACCGTTCAAGTGTGTGTTGTGCAATCGTTGGTCTTTGTCGGACCTGGGATCGCGTTTTCCGCCACGCTCCGTTTGAGTTCGGTTCGTGGAAACGATGTCCTTGCGCCGCCGCGCTCACATCGCCAAGTCGTACCGCGCCAACTGGTTAATTAAAAAGCGACATTGTTTCGATTAATTGCATCGGCTATTTCTCGCGTTCGCGAGAAGAACTACAACGAAACGATTGTTACAAAATGTTAAATACGTTTGTTCATTTTTTGTTCTATCGCACGCGACCAGAAACATATGTCTCTCGGCTTTTCGCTTCGTTTGCAGGCATGTGAGTTCCCCGTGGCTGATAATTCCCTGCCGATGAGGTCCGCAATCTACAGGAAATGTCGAATCTTCTTATCAGTCGGGCAACCAACTGGAGTGGTTTTTCGACTAAATTACACACCGAGTTAAACCGCAAACCGGGCGTATTACAAGCAACGGAGAAAACCGAGTTACAAAATTGCTGTAGAAAGTTGAGACTCGTAAAAACTTTAACCTACACAGTCTAAACAGAATATCGGTAATTGATTATCGATGCGCCTATACAAGATTTAAAAAAAAAAAATATTTTTAGACTAGTCGAATTCACATAAAATGATAACAAAAAATAACTAATATTACAACAACAACAATAACAATGTAATTCCCGGCGAGAATATAATCAAATGGCATTCTGAAATTATTACTCGCGTTGTACTTCCGCATACGCGAGTAAAATAAAATATTGGAATAAAAATTTGCGGCGCGCTCAGCGGGAGTAAAATTCTCTCAGTTGTGATACAGTTTTTGTTCGACGTGGTGACGCCGCGTTGGGTGCATTATCGCGAAACCCTATAGCGATTTAATTCCCCGTGATGCGGATTCTCGAAGAAATTCCACGAAGTACACACATGGGAGGGAGAAAAATGCGCAAATGGAAATTCAGGTCGGTATATATATAGTTGACGACTTCGCCGGCAAGATAAACGCAGAATAAATTGCTCCTATGTCTCTCTCTCTCTCTCTCTCTCTCTCTCTCTCTCTCTCTCTTTTTTCTCTTTGCATCATCATCGTGAAAGAACTTAAGAGACATATGTTAACAAAACTTACAAATGTATTTTATTTATTTTTATCGCCGCGAAGATAAGAAAGAACATTCCGTTTCGTTAACGCACCTTAAATACTTAACGTGACACCGATTCCTCGGTGTGTGTTACTCAGTGTACCTTGAGTTCGATTCTTCGATATCATAGCTCGATGCCGATACACGAAACTCTAATAATATCGCATAGGAAACAGATAGCGGCCGATTTTATCGGGCGCTACGCGCAAACATAACGTGATAAGACTCCTGGATCTTCCCTCTTTTTTATTTCGTTGAATCGATATATTGCTCTCGTTATGCGCGATAAACCTTGTAAATATTAACCCTTAAATGTAATACGTTTCCCCAATAGGAAACTCAAATATTTTTTCGAACAACGAGATTAAATCTCCGATCTTCGCGGAAAGTAAGAGGGAAATTAAAAGCCACAACCTGTTTCAGGTTATTGGGACCTTTGATGTCTCGCGGGTGACGCCGCGGGAACAAAAAAAAAAAAGGAGGAAAAAAATGGAGTGGTTCGTTCACCCCGATGTTTGTCCGGACGATATTTTTCTGGGCATGCAAATAGTAGCTCGGAAACAAAGACGCGAGTAGTGTCCATTCACTGTTGTTTAAAGAGAGAGAAAAAGAGAGAGAGAGAGAGAGAGAGGGAAATTCTCTGGCGTAGAAAGTGTAGTGCTAAAAAAGAAGAGATCTCTCTCTCGCGTACACACACACACACACACGCACACATGTGCATACGCAACTTCGCGCGAACGAGGAGACGGCGTTTCGCCGACAGTTTGCGTATATCTCGCGTGTTGCGAACGTAGCGAATCACAAACCGTATCCTCTCATTCCACGTTAAGATCCCGCGGACAACCTGTTAATATCCTTCGCACGAAGTTGTTCCTGCAGGTTAGGTTCAGGATACTGCATTTTTGACCGTTTGAAAAAATACGCTCGCTAAATATAGGCGGAAAGGTCGAGGTTTTCTTCTTGACTCTCTTAAATGCGAAGACTAACTGCCGGTTGAGCGGCGCGCAAAATCCTTCAACCGCTCCCGAGAGAATCTTGAAGCGATAAAGTAAAATTTTCTACATCATACGAGGCAAAAAAAAATGTGTAACGTTATCAGCTAACGGTCTATCTTCTCGTGGAAATGGCTTTTTCCGAGTCGAGTCCTTCGAGAGAGACCGAAGAGATAGGTTTTTCTTAATCATGACGTATTTTCGTCGTCGCAGCTTCGTCGTCGAGAGATGTTGGAAATTCTCGACGCAAGAAAACCGCGTCTTTGAACTGAATATTTATTAGTACGTCTGATTCCAGATATAGAGAAATCGTGTTTTTCTCTCCTCCCTCTCTTTCTCTCTCTCTCTCTCTCTGCGCGTTTTTCCCGATCAAGCCGTATTTTTATATGGAGGATTACAAGTTATAGCGTCACAGAATGGAAATTTTGCGATTGCGTCGAGAATAACAGTATATTTCGCAACGATCCCGCTGGATGAAAACGCGACAAACGTACAAGTGTAATTATTCGTTTCTTAAACAGTTTGTACAGATTGCAAACTTGTATACAATTTGTTTGTTTAATGATAATGTAATTTATACGCGCGCGCGTAGCTACTGATAAAATATTCTCAATTATCTCGGGACGTCAAAGAGTTCGCGGATACAGGGAGGATTGCTTGTCTTCAAGTTCATTGAAGCGTCAGGAAACACTCTTAAAAAAAAAATATTTCAAATGTGCTTTGAACGTAGGTTAGCCGCGCGCACGTTCGAGCTTCCGCGAATGTGCATCAAGAGAGTTTTCGGGAGGGAGTTTCGTAAACCGGCTGCGAGAGACCGGCCCGTGGGAAGAGAGACGGAAATAAAACGCGCGCGGGGAGGATGAATTCGCCCGCGCGCGTAACAACGATATTTCATCGCCATCGAACGGAGCCTTATTAATCTCCCGGCTGGCTTTATGAAGGCACGTTCACAGAGCACGTTCTCTCTTCCATGGGGAGCCAACCCACACACACTCTGGCTCCGCGTGTACGTACGCCGCCGACGACGACGACGTGCGATGTGTGAGCAAAACCAACGATAAAACCCGCTCGATTAACGGGCGCTGTCAAAAATCTGAGTCATCGCTCGTCGAGAGTTGCGCTAACTCGACGCGTCGCAACTTTCGCCCTAAATCGATGTTAACGTCGTCGTTGTCAGCGGTCATTCGATGAATATTTTCACGCCGTTCTTAATCGCCTCTTCGCGCTGCGTGAGCGTAAACGTAAACCTTTGTTGAGAAAGTAGGTGGAGCCCGGGACCTCCCCAACTCCTTGGGCACCAGCAGTCTCAAACGATATCTCGAAATTTTTGAACTTTCGATTCCGATCGAAATAGATTTTCATTTTGTTTCTCGCTGTTGGATTGTTGTTTTATCGCGTTCACAATCAACGAAACACACGGAAAATCTCGATCGGAATAAGAAAAAAACTTGTACAGCTACCCTTTGTCGAGTAATATAAACAATGAAAAAATAACATTTGATTTTTACAAATTGTCTATATTGTTTTCACAGAAAGTAAAGTTCTAACAAAGTTGCGTCTGGGGGATTAAAAGTAAACGAACGCTGTGCGCGTTCTCTGAATTTTGAAAGAAAACACAGTTTTCAAAGAGAGAATTGTGACAATAAAAAATAACGATAATAAAATTGCGAATCAATGTGTTTATACGGTCAACGTTGTGCTAACAGGCTTTTGCTTTTGTTACGTTTTCAGACTGTGCAACATGGTTTCCCGAACAAACCGACCGCTCTCGCCTGGGATCCGAGCCTGCGGCTGATGATCATCGGCACGGCATCCGGCGCCATCAAGGTGTATCCTTTTGCTTTTCTTGTTCTTTGTGCTCCCATCGTGCTCGCTCTCCTTTCCGTTCGTTATTTATAATCCGATCCCGAGGCAATCGCGTCTCGCGCGATTCGATGACGATTTGTTGTATCGATCTGTATTAATCCTCGAAAAATCCCCGTCGCTCTTCAGAAAGAGAAAATCGCGCGAAGCCGATCGTTGATGAATTGAACAACACGTGCGCGCAAGTGAAGAGCTTTGTTCGTCACGGGAATTGAATTGTTTTGTCGGGTTGAAAGAGGTTTTTGTAAAATTGTTCAAACAAAATTCATTTGCAATTGAAAAACTGCGTCTCGTGAACGTTGTACCACGCCATTTTTGTGACCTTTCGTATTATCGCGACAGAGAAAAATGTTTGCTTGCTACGCAAGCGAGTGGCCTAACAAAGACGTCATAAATCAATTGTGATGTATTTTATAAAGTTACGAGAGATTGAGCGAGAAGAATTATCGGAGAGAAATCGATGCTTTAGACGCGTATACGCGCAATGACGTTCGCGCGCGGTAAAATTTCCGAATTATAAAGAGTAATAATGTTCTTGAATTGAGGAATTCGGCGCGACGTACACCCCGACTTACTTTCCCAGGTAACTTGAGGGAGAGAAAAATTAATTTGAAGTCTCAATTTCTTCGCAATTTTCATTCTCACCGGGAAACCGAAAAATCGATCGCTGGTGTCGCATTGAATTCCTCAATTAAAGCGCAACTGTATTTTGCATAATGCAAGCAGTCGGTGCCGTGGTCATATCGATTGTGCAAAAGTGCCTACGTGGTACGCGTTCGATTGAAATATTCGACTTTGCTGCTGACAGCAAAGCCCTCGGGTTTTTGTTGCACTTTTCAAAAACGATATTTCGCAAATGTTTGAAAATCACGAGCTGTCTCGAGTGATTTGATCGATGTTTTCGATTAACCAAAACCGGAGGAAGAAGGTCGAAGCGCGAATTGTGTATTCTGCGGTACTTCGTTGATCTCGTTTTACGGCTTTGTATTGGCGCCACTTATGTCAGCTAATCTACATGCGTGCGCGTGCCAAATTATCGCTTCGGAGTGGTCTATTTGCAATATATTAACTGAAAATCGCCTCGAGCCACGCAGCGAGTTCGAATTTATCGGCAATTCGCGTCCTTTTAACGTGAGTAAATAAAAAGTGGGAAAACAGCTCCAATTTAAGCGCAATTAAAATTTAAAATTGATTACACTTGAATTATATTAATTACTTTATTTTAACGAGAATTGTTCTTTTTAAGTACAAAGAAACAAATATTTCAAATGGCTGTGTTAAAAACATTTTAAAGTAAAATAAATAAAGTAAAATAAATAAAGTAAACAAATTGAACAGACATTTTAATTGAAAGTAATTAAAATTAATTACGAGAGGATTGTTCACAAAAGGGAGAGCCAAAACGCTGGTTGCAGCGCGCAAAGTAATGACTGACGCAGCGTAAATATAAACAAAACAAAAAAAAATGAGAAGATTCAAAATATAAATAGAAGATTAAAAAAATATAAACACAGAAGATTCAAAACATAAATAGAAATTTTATTACTACACGCGCGCGTGAAGCATAAAAGTCGACACAGAGATTAATTCTTCGTCGACTCTCGTTAGAAGCTCGCGCTCTTTTCATCTCGTTCGTTGGACGACATTAGACGAGGCGGTGTTAGATGGTAACAAAATTGAGAATTGACACGTCACCGTGTCGGGCAATTTGATGCCAATTCGGTTTGCTGCTATAGTCATGTCGACAGCGCTCTCCCAAGGACTACATAATCGTCGGATGATTGTTATTATTTCGCAATAGAGATACGAGGCGCACGATAACATCTGCGTCGCCAGGAAACCTTCGGTTATGCAGAATTCCCGCGCGCGCGATATCTAACCTTTTAATCCGTCGTACGTGCGTTGTTTACGCACGTTGGGACTACTACTTCGCCGAACACGTTTAATCGCGAGCTTCTTGAATTTTTTTTTTTTTGTCCTCCCGCTTCGAGAACGACGATATTTTTTATCTACGTTTTCAGACATGCCGCGCACGGTTTTTTTTTTAAACTAACGTATCGATGGTAATTACGGATTTAAAAAAAAATACACCGACGCAAAATTACGTTTAAAGTAGAAAAGCCCCGTGAGCCGCACAGCGGTCGCGGAAAATATCGATCGAGAGTTAAAAGTAGGTGACTTCTGGTGTAAAATAGAACGCGGCGCGATGTTGGAACACATTAAAGTCAACGGTCTCTCATCGGGTTGTTAATCATTCTCGCGAAAGGAAATTGATCTTAGAAGTGAAAAACATTAGATTCGCTAATTGAATGTCCGTTGCGAAGTAGTCCAAAGTATTTTGCAATCGCGCAGCCCGATGTGGTGACACAAATTGTGTCGACCCGCCCGAGAGACTTTAGAATTCGCGAACTGTGCGGTACAATAACGTTCGCGCGTTCTACTTTAATTGTATTTTTTTTTTTTTTTCCATACGTAATCCTTTGTCAGCGCTTTAAATCGGTCAAATTTCAAGTTCGGAATTCAATCCTCTCGCTGGAGCACGAGCTTCTTACGCGTCTCTTTCTTTTGTTTTTTTTTTTTAACACGAAGAGAAAATTCCCACATGTATGAGATCTTTCGTTTCCTTGACTCAAGAGCGTGCAATTCACAGTTTCGGAAGACCGGGTGTGGAGTTCTATGGACAACATTCCGTCGAGAGCGGCGAGAATGCCGTCACGAAGATCGTCGCGCTCCCAAACGAGGTAAGATAATAATTGGCCGATCGCGGGGTTGTCAGTCGCTTGAACCCGGCAATGAAAGAGAGAGAAACAGTCTTTTTGCGGTGAGAATTATCTTCGACAATTTGTTAAGACACGAAGGACACGCGAGTCTTTCGTAAGACGCGATATAATTACGCGATCAGAAATATACCCGCGTTCCAGTTTGCGAACAGAAACTAGCCGGTGACTCGCGACTGTGGTTCCGTAAAGTCTCAAAACCGAGCAACGCGACACCGTGTTCCGCTTATATGGGTTTGCCGCGGGTTGCATAATTTCGATGTACGTATAAAAAAAAAAAAAAAAAAAAAAACGCAACAATGTGCGCGGATAAGTATGTAATACGTGCGCGCGTTATGACACGGTGGCATCGCGCAACAAACGCGATTTTAAGACGACGTGGGAATAACGCAGGAAGAAGAATACTTTCTTTCGCACTTCCGATGTGTTCAAGAGGTTTCTCATGAAACCTGTTGATCATCGCGCGCGAGAAACACATTCAATTGCTGCCTCATTCACAGCTTCGAGAATTATTGAAGTTTTTTTTTTTTTAAGTTGATAATTCACCGAACTTGATGTCAAATCTCGAGTAGAGTTTCTTCGACGTTGATCGTCGCGCGTGAGAAGTTTACGTTCAACGTTTTCGTCGAGAGTTCAAAAACTGTCAAAGATTAGATTTTCAAAATCGACAATTTTATTGGTAATTTGTTAAAGTCGACATGGAATTTCGATATTTATCGTAAACATACAAGTAACAGTTCTTTTTTTTTCATATGATATATCAACCGATTCAGGTGTGGCCTGTTAATTGTATCGCGTCTCCGTCCGCGCGTGATTGCACAACGATGTGTGAGCACGAACATTCGTTATCACGATAAGCAGAGTTTCGAGTAAATCTCGAACCGATAAGATAGAAGACTGACTATTATAGAGATCTATCATTAGTTTTTCACTTTTATTAACCATGATTTTTTTTTTGTTTTTTTCACTTGTCTCGAAAACTGGTTCAAAATTAGTTTCTGTTACATGAACTAATTACACATTTAAAAAGAGATATATATATACGTATACATGTTATCTTACACACAACTTTCCGAGAAAAATTGACGTCCAATTTGGCGCGTCGTAAATTTTTCAGGGTCGCGTGGTGTCCTTGTGCGACGACAACTCCCTACATTTGTGGGAAATCAATGAGAGTTCTCTGGTGGAGACGAAGTCGTTGTCGTTGGAGGGCAAGCTGAAGAAAATCTCAGCGATGTGTCTCGAATCCAGCGGGGAGCATCTTCTATTGGGTACCGAAGGGGGCAACATCTATTTGCTCAACTTGAAGACTTTTGTCATGCCGGACAATATTATCTATCAGGACGTTGTGATGCAGAAGTAAGCGCGATTGAATCGAATGTTGTGTTGAAACTTGGCCCGAGAAGTTTCGTTGTCGTTTAATATTTTGAGCTTCAAAAGATGATTAAAGAGAAATAGAGTTAATTTCTATAAAAAGTAAGCGCGCGCTATTCTTGTTGTTGTTGTTGTTGCACAGCGTCCCGGAGGATTACAAGAAAAATCCGGGAGCAGTCGAAGCCATAGCCGAGCAACCAGGACATCCGGACAACATTCTGATCGGTTATAACCGTGGCCTGATGGTGCTGTGGAACAAAGCCACACCTGGGGCCCAGCAGGTAAGCGTTATATCTGTTTGTACGTCTCTATGTACACATGATTACTCTCTGACAAATGCGACACACACGCTTACATGCTTCACAACGATATGCTACGTCAATGTTTAACTCTGCTAGTTCGTTTCCGACACATTCAATTCTTCGGTTCAAATAAATTTCTGGATGTGCTGTTTTTTTATTTTTTATTTTTTATTTTTTATTTTTTTATTTTTTTTTTGGATAAAATAAAATATTGTCGAAATATTATTTTGAAAAGAAAAAAAAATGAACACTTTTTTTTAGTCTTATATTTTTTTCTTTTTTTCTTGAATATGTTTTGTACCTTCGAAAAAAATCATTCTGCGTAACAGATATATTTTTATATTTTGGACACAACAAACTTGCATTGTTTTTACTCTACCAAAAGTTAAACAAGTTGTTGTTGCGCTTCGAATTCGTAAACATTGGTCAGAATGGAACGGCAGAGGTAAAAATACATTGTGAGATCGTTCGTTCGCTCGTTCTGATTGTCGTTTGTGTCTTTGGTGGTCTTTGGTGGAACGCGCAGCTGATGGGTTTGTTTTCGGGTGCGCAGACATTCGTCTCTACGCAACAGCTGGAATCGGTCCACTGGATATCAGAGAATCGCTTCGTCTCGTCGCACAACGACGGTTCATACGCCTTTTGGAGCCCGGGCAGCGACGCCGTGCCAGAACCCACGACGCTTTACGGACCGTTCCCGTGCAAAGCCATCACCAAGATTCTTGTGTATCCCACAGCGGAGTAAGTCACTCGGACATCGAATCAATAACGCGCTTCTTCAAGAAATTTTTTTACTTAAACTCTTGTTCTTTCTCCGTAGACAAGGCGAGCTTCTCTTGTTCTCTGGTGGTATGCAACGCGCCAGTTACGGAGACCGACACACCATCACCGTTATGACCAAGAACAAGCATTTAGTTTTCGACTTCACATCCAAAGTCATCGACTTCTTCGTCGTATTCTCTAAAGAAGAAGAAGGGAACAACGAGAATCCCGTCAATCCAGAAGCGCTCATAGTATTGGCCGAAGAAGAACTCGTAGCCATCGATTTGACTAATCCCGACTGGAAGATGATGGCACTGCCTTATCTGGTGTGTCTCCATGCGAGTGCGGTGAGTATCTTGATGAAATCAATCTATAAGAAACCAAGTTGCTGCAGTTAATTTAACTAATTCTTTCACGATTTATAGGTGACCTGCTCCCAACATGTACCTAATGTTCCCGAAGAGCTCTGGGATGCGATCGTGGCGGCCGGTAAGTCGCAGACAGAGCATTTGTACTCGGACAAGTCATGGCCCATCGATGGCGGTAACATCCTCTGCCAAAAGCCGGCAAATCCCGACAAGCCCAAGAGCAAAGAGCTTCTGCTCACCGGTCACGAGGACGGCAGCGTGAGATTCTGGAACGCGTCCGACGTCGCTCTAACTCCTCTGTACAAGTACAACTCGTCGATTTTGTTTGCCGGCGAGCACCTGGACGTTCTCGAGCAACCGCCGGAGGATGATGAGGACGAATGGCCGCCGTTCAAGAAGGTGGGGATCTTCGATCCGTGTTCCGATGATCCGCGGCTCGCTGTGAAGAAGGTACTTCTGTGCCCGTTGTCGTCCACAATGGTGATCGCCGGTACAGCCGGTCACATCATCACCGCAATCATCTCCCCGGAAGCGACCAACAAGGAGATAAAGGCCGTCACAATGAACATCGTCAACGATCGCGACGGATTCGTGTGGAAGGGTCACGATCACCTGCCGCCGAGAACGGCCAGTATATCGTTCGCGATCGGATTTCAGCCCCAGAATCTTCTCCAGCTGTATCCACCGGCTGCGGTTACGGCGCTGGCTTTGCATAGCGAGTGGGGACTTCTCGCTGCCGGCACCGCGCACGGACTCGCAGTTTTTGATTATACTAGGTCAAAAGCCGTTAACGTCAAGTGTACGCTCAATCCGAACGATCTTTTTGGTTCGGGAGACACACCCATCTCCCGGCGGAAATCGTTCAAAAAATCTCTTAGGGAATCTTTTAGGAGATTGAGAAAAGGACGTTCGCAGCGCCGGACGAATACAAACAGCCCGACGGGAAATCCTGCGTCGGAAAAGAAGAAAGACAAGTGAGTTTTTGAATGAAAAGATATATACATAGAGGAAATAATATTATATAATAATAATTATTAATTTTAGTCCCAGTGTCGCTTCTTCACCGAGCGGCGATCTGTCAGCAGTAGAATTGAAACCAGTCGAAAGACAAGTGGAAGCTAGGCCCGTTGATGACGCTCTAGGCTCTATGGTTCGATGCTTGTACTTTGCCAGAAGTTACATTATTAGCCGTTAGTATTTTTCATGTAAAATCAATAATGTATATGTGAAGAAAACATTCAACGATTAAAACGGGTTGAAACACTTGTAGTACAAAATACGACACCTACACTTTGGGCCGGTACCAACAACGGCACGGTTTACGTCTTCACGTTGGCTATACCGGCCGGCGTGAGGAGAACGGAGGAGGATGTCAACTGCACACTTGGCAAAGAAATTCAACTGAAACATCGAGCGCCCGTAATCGCGATCACGATTCTCGACGGCTCCAGCGTGCCGCTGCCGGAATCCTACGAGGCCGAGAAAGGCGTCGCGCCCGGACCCGACATGACCTCTCCGCATCGAGTCGTAATCGCTAGCGAGGAACAGTTCAAGATCTTCAATCTTCCGTCCCTGAAGCCGCATTGCAAGTACAAATTGACCGCCCACGAGGGATCGAGAGTGCGTAAAACCGGCTTCGCCAAATTCTCGTGTCAAGTCGAGCCAGCGGGAACTCACGAGGAAACTTGCCTGCTGTGCCTCACGAATCTTGGCGACTGTCTGGTGCTGAGCATACCGGAATTGAGAAGACAACTGAACGCTGCTGCGATCAAACGAGAGGATATTAAGTTAGTATTTTTTTTTTTTTATATATATATTTCTTGTCTTTTAGATATCGCATACACTTGGAAAACAAACGTACAACGTGTTTTGTTTCTTAGTGGTATCTCTTCTTTAACGTTCACGAAAGCCGGTGAAGCGTTGTATCTTCATTCGAGCTCGGAGCTCCAACGAATTTCTCTCTCGACCTCTAAAGTGACGAAGGCGCATTGCGCGCTCAATTTACCGCCGCATGCCAGAGCGGAGAACGTCAATGAAGTTGCGCATGAGGAGGGTGTTGTCGAAGGTGCGGCCGAAAATGAGGGAGAGACACAAGGAAGTCAACCGCCAACAGCAGCGAACAGAGTTATCACAGAAAATGGCGTTGTGGGTGCCAGTGAGTACAGTATAACTTTCTTAAGACGAAAAGAATCTTTATATAATATTCAAGGAAATAAAACATCTTTTTTATAAATATAGAATATATATATTACCGGCTTTTGTGCAATTGCTAAATATGTGTACCACTGCTTGGCAACTTCATTAGCTGCATATATTTGTGCTTGACCACATACAATATATTAATTAAAAACCACACGTGACCCTAATTAAAACCAATTCATCATCCCTTTGTGTTTATGTGTTACTTGTGAATTAACGAGATATCGAAGAATGCCGATTGTTTGTGTTGTTGACGTACTCAGTGTCGTTTATTGTCAATTCCTGAACGCATGTCTTTTAGCTGGGGAAGAAGAATCACCGAAGGAGCCGTCGTTGCGACCAGCCACGAGTAGTATAGACGTGAACGGTGACGATGACCGTCAGGACTTAAGTTCCATTGGAGACATCACGATCGACAGTGTTAAAGACCATTTGCTGTAAGTTCGGTCGATACTGTTCGATGTTTCATTACATTTGACTTATTTTTTGCTTACTTGCGAATATATATTTTGATATCAATTTTTGACAATAAACTGTTATACGTACAATAATTTTTGTATTTCTAAACTTACATTTGCACGGCGCTTAAAAATTTAATTTGCTGTTATGTTCACTAATGTGCGTTTGATGTACTTGCCATTCTCTTGGCAGTAACAGTTCACTTTTTAGAAACGCGACGTCTTCCGAGGATCTCCACAATCGTTTGGCAGGGCTCAAGATGGAGGTAACCTCACGAACTTCCGAAGTATCTACGCAGAATCAATCGTTGGTCGTGAAAACGACCACCGTGGTCACACAAACTACAAATAGCACGACCACCAACGGCGAGGTTGAGACAAGTCAGGCGAACGAAACGCAACATGTAAACAGTGAGTAAAATCGAGCAATTGATCGGAGTGTGACTAATGTCCAATTAAATCTATCATTAGACTGTCTGATTAACGATTCGCAAAAAGATCAAGAAAGTTTTTTTTTAATTGTAATGATGAGCTTGTTAGTTTAAATGATGTGATTAATTAATTATTTTCTAGGTCGTCTGATTTAATTAATTTTCCAGGCTTGCTAGTCGACAAACTCAACGAATTACCACATTCACACACACTTTTTTATACTGTACGGTTAAACAATATTTTGTCTTTGTCTTTCAATGTTTCGATGAGTTTTGTTTCGTTTTTTTTTTTTTATGTTTATTTTATCTCTTTCTCTCTGTATTTATTTATTTTTTTTTTTTAGAAATTTATGTTTTTGTTGTGGCGTTTGTTTTGTTGCGCAGGCACTACGGTAGAGCGGGAGATACGCAGCGGTATCGAGACAACAACGACACACGCTACCATCACTCTACCCCCGAACGTCGAGGTCAGCAAAAACGGCACTGATCGTGTTATAAAATTAATTGGTGTTGGCCGTTACCTCGATATTAACCCTCGTTGTTGATGTTTTCGTATACTATTGTTGTGCGCTCGTTAATCATCAAATTGATTTCCTTGCTATTAAAACCAGCACCAGCTTTCGATTCGTTTGGTTCCGTCCGTTAATTATTTACCGTCTGTTTTCCCCTTCACACGATATTCATTAACAGGCTGACTAACAGTACCCGAAGTATCGTAGAAATAAAGCTTCTTTTAACTAACTAATCGTATGTTTCTCGCACATTCGGGCTATGTGTGTTAAGGAGACGAATGTTTAAATATTTCAGATTAGTGCCGCGGATTTGGCCAACCTGGAAGTCACCACGACCACAGTGACCACCACCACGGAAAGATCCAAGGCGCCGTTGGCCAGGCCGGAGGAGGAAGTCGGTTCGTAGGCCTGTTTTCCATATCGTTTATTCCATGCTGACCACACGCATCCGACTTGGCGCGCTCCTTATACGGAGCCCATCAATAATTAGTTACTTAATATAGACAAACGTGTACACACAAAGCGCGACGACGTAGGTAGGATTTGTATACCGTAGATTTTTTTAAGAGATCCAGATTTCTACGCATTTACAGCGCATTAATCACGCAGCGAAGGGTGATTAATTTTTAAGCAAAAAATCCGTATGCATTTTATCGAAACCTCGTATATCAGCCTCGAGTAATCCGCTCGTGAACACGCTTCAGAGATAAATAATTTTTGGAACGTGGAAAGAAAGTAAACAATTTTTAACAAAAAGAAAACAGAAACTGTAGGCCTACAGAGTGTTTTACTCGCTGCGAAAGAGAACGAATTCTCTTTAGCAGTTTTCCTCGCGAAATAAATTTTTAAACAATTTAATTACTGATAAGAGAGTCGAGATATATAAGTTCGACGGGGGGGGAAAAAAAAAAGAAAAAATAGTGTGTGCCGTCTAATTGTTGGCCGAGCGTCGAAGTTTTTATCGCACTCTGTTTTTGGTTTTTACGTAGCCGATTTTTTTTTATATTCGTTAAAAGACGTTATTTGTGTTTTACAAGTAGGATTGTTTTTATTTACACGTGTTTGCATGTACATACAAGGCATATATACATAAATTGGATCGATCTTGCGCACACTAGATCGGTCTTGAATGCTCTTAAAGAACGACGTGATGTGTGTATGTGTGTGTGTCTTGTACACAACCAGTATATATATATATATATATATATATATATATATATATATATATAATACACATAACCGTAGAGACTTGAAAAACAAGATTGATTCTATAATTTTCCGAGAGAGATAGAGACAAAAGAGAATATATATATATATATATAATACACATAACCGTAGAGACTTGAAAAACAAGATTGATTCTATAATTTTCCGAGAGAGATAGAGACAAAAGAGAAAATGATGAGACATCACAAAATGTGAATTATGGCAGCCTTAAAACCTACACACTGTTATTTTATATATATAATATATATATTATATAAATAAATAAACTTAGTTTATATTATACGAACACACGCGACTTAAGGAGTCTATTCACGATTGGGAAGAGACGCGGGGCAAGGGAGAAAATTCGTTTTGTCAAAAAGACGTGTGTAAAAGTTGAAATTTTTCAATATTGAAAATGACATACAAACAAGTTACATTAAAATTTTAATTGCAAACGTATGACAGGAATGATGTCATTCGCAGCATTTTTGATTTTACTGAATAGACTCTTCAGGCCATCCGCAGTATTTTGAAATGTTTCCGAGCGTCTCGCGGGCTTATTTTATTTTTTTTTTTTTTTTTTATTTTTTTTTTATTGCGAACAAATCGCGCAATCTGTGTTGCGATACGGAAGATGCTCCGAACAACAAACAAGTAGCTACTTAAGTAGAATTATATATTTTACACCGAACAAGTGTATAAGGAGATTAAAAAGAAAAAAAACAAAAAAAAAACACGTGGCGAACTTCAAATAGGAATGGATTGATCCGTCGAGGGTCATGACGTGTGGTTGGGAAGAGAAACGCGTTGAAAATATATTTTTTATCAATGTTGCTTAATCGTTAAGTTTTCTCTTTCTCTCTCTCTTCGCCTCATCGAAGGGTGCGTGACCGAGGGAATTTTCCAGTCCTCTGGAAAACCATCGCTTGATACAATATCGACAGTTACTTTATTGTTGCATTTACTTGCAATCTTTTTTTTTCTTCCCGAACGAAGTTAATCGCAAATGGATAGTCTCTTTTTAGCGACGAACGAACGATTGCTCTGCGACGCACGTTTTCGCCTTGATATATAATATATACATATATATATTTTACCAGTTTTTAACGGGCGTTACACTACATATCATTTTTATATCAAATGTACTTCATCTTCGCGCAGAAGTGCGTATCATAATTACGCTGCACCCTTTATATTGTAATTTTGATCTCAGTAGAAAGAAGTCTCATGGGAAAAACAAACGATGGTTCGAGTTGTGGTATTTGAGAATCTGTGTATATCTCCTCTGCCGATCACGCGCCGATAATTTTAACGATATTGTACATTTGTATAAAAAAAAAAACAAAAAAAAAACACATCGAACGATATAAAGTTCTGCCAAAAGTGCGTATATAAAACCGTGCCCTTTTTACCGACCGCATTAAAAAAAAAAAAAAAAAAAATCGCTCTTTTAAAACACCACCATAATCGATTCGAAATTTTAATCACAATTTTTAACACTTCGATTTTATACATACACAAATATATAATGTATTGACGGTACTAAACCGAATGCCTTTTTATAATGCGCGATGCGAGTTCTCTCTCTCGCGTACATAGATATAATATATATAAGTTCTAAATCCCGTTTAGTTTTAATATAATTATTATTATTATTATTTTTTTTTTTTAATCTTTTACCGATTGGATTTTATATACTATACGAAGCGTAATGTATTTTCTAATGTACGTTGTAAAAGAGGAAACATAAAGAAGAATAAAGAGAGTGAACACCTGCAAAATGAAGGAAGAGAGAAACGATTTCTTTGCATGTGCGACGAGGGCGACAAAGCGCGCGAACACTTCCACTTATCATCGCTATATAATATAAGCTGCTAAGAAAGTAACTAATCCTTCATAATTTTGCCGAACGCTATTTTTATCGCAAAAACAAGTGCACTCGTAATAAATTGTTTTTTTTTTTTTTTTTTTTTTTTTTTTTTCCTGCTCTGATAAAGCAATGTATAGTGTTACACAAGATGGATGAAAGAAAAAAAAAACACTGCCCGCGAAAAAACATTGTCCCGACACTGTTGAATACCGATTGTAAAACATGTCGTACATTGCGAACGCCTATATATTTACGAAGAAATATATACAAATATAATTATTGATGCATTTTTCTATTTCTCAAAAATCACTATTGTTTGTTCTATCTCCTCGACCTTTCCTTGGACCTTTCGCTAACCAGGCGTTGACTTTTTGTACAATTTTCACTAAAAAAAAAAGCACAATTTTTCAATACATATATATATATATATGACAAAACTCATACTCATATATTAAACTCAGTATATTATCGCGACCAGTTGACATTTCCTGCTGTAATAAAGCGAGAAAGGTTTTACTTGCTGACGCAAAATAATAACTTATATACGCAAAGCAATTCTATTTCGCGTTTGCGGAACATTAATCGATAAATAGATAGCCAGCAGTCTTGTGCAAAAATATGTTAATTAACCGAGGCAGTATATAATTTTAAACCAACTCGGTTGCTTTCTAGAAACGACCGATCGCGAGAACTTATGAATTCGCGGGATCGCGATCGGTATGTTATTGCAAAAACACTTATCAGTAATGCGTTCGTAGGAATATTACAGACTCAGCGAATGCATTAACATCTTGATCCGGCCACAAAGTCCAATAATATAATTCTCTGTCGTCACGCTGTATTGTGCGTTTCGCCCGTAACATTAAACGCGATCATATATTTTCAGATGCGTCTTACGAGCGAAGGATAGGAACTTCGATCGCAGTCCGCGCGCAATGCATATTTGTTCTACTTGCCGATTTCGCAGCTTTCACGCGATAAATGATCGACTCACGATCTACGCGACCTTGGTTGATACCGCCTTTCGAATCTAATCACCAAAAGTGGCAACTGCTCTACTGCGACCAATACGATCACACAAGACAATCTGTTTCATCAGCTAGCACATGTCTTTTATCTAGAGACCTTTTCTGTCGGAATATCTCGAGAAAGTTGCGCCCGAAACCAAATCACTATCTTATCTGTATATCTTTTACTTGATGAAAACTCGATTGCAATAACGCACTCGATGTAACGACTCGAACAATTAGCGTATCGTGTTTGTACAGTTGTACAACCGGAACTCGAGCAAACAAATTGCTTTAAGTTTCATGTGCTTTGCACCCGGTAATGATCGGCACCCGGGTGGGAAGTGAATTTTTTCTCACATATTGTTACGACGTTCGCTTTCGCGACTCGATCGAAGAGAGATATCAGAGGTGGGGTATGCGACGTGAGGATGAGTATCGGTCTTATCACCAGCGTGCGTGCTTATAAAAAAAAAAAACCTAAAGCGACAGACTGACCCGTGGAACAGTTCGGCTCCAATCTAGAGCGATAAAATCCACGTCATCCGGTCGGCTTCAGTCGCGTAGTCGAGCTCGTCGCCAGCGGAGCACCGAAGCCGACGACGAGTCTCGCCGGTCGTCGCTGTCCAGAAGTGCGAAGATAAAGAGAGACTGGCGTCACACCGCCGCTGCCACTGTTGCCTGCTGCTTCCACCGCCGCGACCATCCAAAGAACAGAGAAAAGAGCCAGCCAGTCGCAGCAATGTGTCACTGAATTTTGAATCACTCGTGACGGCGAATCGCGGTGTAACGCGCTCCGCATTTTCAGTTTTCCTCGACACACGGAGAAATGGGCCACGAGAAGGAGAGACCGACCGGGAAGGTCGAGCTGAAGAGAGAGCTGGGACTCTTCAGCGCGGTCAGCATCATCCTAGCGGTGATGATCGGTATGAAGAAATTTTCTGACTGAAAATTTTATTCTTTTTTTTTTTTTCGCGAGCGACGAATCAAGTTGCGGCTGCGTTGAATAAAATTGCGATTTCTCATATCGAGTTCGTTCCATGTCTGCCGTGTATGTGTCACACCGAGATTCTAATTAATTGCGAGCGCGCGCGCGATTAAACATAATCGTACGTACGCGCGTGTCTCTTTTGTTCCGCCGCGCGCTCGTCCCGATCGCACCGCGTGCGGCTTACTACAGACAGTGCGAATTTTGTGACCGACATTATATCGCAACATGTAAAACGATAAAAACGAACACTTGCGACTCCGCATAATTCTCTTTGCACGCGTATTGCGGTCTCATTTCCGATCTCCGACACTTTCTCCCTCTCGCGATCACGCTCGAATGTGATAAACAAAGATACAAAGACACGATCTTGTTGAAATCCGCGGTATTATTCGCCGGCTGCGTGCATCGTGCTATAAAAAGATCCCGCGCGTTCTCGTTTGGAGTCGCGTACATTATTTTTGAATGTATTATTTGGCAGCAACAAATACAGCAACAAATGGAGCGTTGAATTGAAAAGTACCTTATAGTGTTTTAATATTTTTATGCGCACTTTTACATTTTTTTGTCAAAAATATTTCCGCAAATTTATTTGATTTTGATGTTGATTTATTTGACAATTTTTGTTATGTTTTTTTTTCCACCAAATAGCAAACACTTCGCGAAACTTAAATTTTCCGCGTAGTATGTATATATATATATATATTTGTTTAGGGAAACGAAGAGTGCATGTTTGCTCTTTCGTCGTGACCTCCAAATTAAAACCATGGCGCAGCGTCGCACAGTATTTCTGGCAACAAAGAGATGTCATTGTCCGAATTTTTCGCGCGCCATTAAGTGCAATTGCTTTCGTCGATGAAACTTTATTGTTTTTGTTTTACATATCGTTTGCACGCGTAGCACAAGCGAGATAATATACAACGCGCTTGCATATATATCACGAGGAAATTACATATTGCTCGCCGATAATGCGCAATCGTAGAAACATTTGTCGTGTCTGGCGGTTTCGGTTGAAAAAAAAAAAAAAAAAAAGACGTAAATAATATTTTTAACAAATCATAAATTATGTCATTCTCGGCTGCGCGTGCGAAGGTAGCTTCTGTATGGTGGCGTGTCTTCTCAAGATAGCCACATATTTAAGCATAGTTAACGATAATTGCATAATTGTATAGAGTCGAATAAGATAACGCTTTACACAATGAACCTGTTATATATTTTAATCCTGATAGACAGTTTCCGGCGTTCTTTTCCCACGTGTTCTTAGAACGTATCATATCGAATGTTCGACAGAGTTAAAACATTTATAAAGACATTTATAAGGAATTTATATATTAAGAACGTTGCAATTTTAAGCAACGGTTCTTTCGCAAGAGTCAAAAATTAAGATTTTTATTTCTGAATAAAACTTTTCGTTCACTTATTGCGAGTCTCAAGAACTCAAAAACTCAAGTGTAATTTTATCTTCGCCGCATTGACAGATCTTATCTTCGGAGCTTATAGTTTAACCGGAGAAAACCGATATTGATATCACAAATCATATTACCTAACACATTTGTATAAACAAAGTGCAGTAAAAATAACATCGTGTTTTCCCAAGTTGTTTTCAGACAACCATCATAGTGCTCCTTGATTATCTCGACGTCGAGATTTTTATCATTCACGCGCTATAACTTTTTTTTCCCTCGCTGTTAGAATATTATGTCAAGACAAAATTAGTAATAAGCATATTTTGTCAATTAACGTGATAATTATATGAAAAAAAAAAAAAAAACTGTCAAGGCTAATCGGGGTTAATCGGTCATCACATGGTAGATTGGTTCTACTTTGTCGCAGCCGGTTGCCGCTTGGTAATAGCAAAACATACTTATTAACTGCCATCTCGTTATCTCTATTATTTAGGTTCTGGCATCTTCGTGTCGCCAACGAGCGCCCTTGAACGATCGGGATCAGTGGGGTTCTGTCTAATTGTTTGGATCAGCTGCGGTGTGCTGTCTCTGTTGGGCGCGTTGGCCTTTGCCGAACTGAGCACGGTGGTGCCGCGTTCCGGCGCTGAGTATGCCTATTTCATCGAGGCTTACGGGCCGCTGCATCCCTGGGCCGGCCCGATACCGGCGTTCATCTGCTCCTGGGTGTACGTGATGCTGCTGCGACCGGCGGAAGTAGCGGTGATCACGCTGACTTTCGCCGAGTACAGCGTGCAGCCGTTCACAGGTTACCTCGGCAACCTGTCCGACGACAGGTTGAGGACGCTGAAGCTGTTTATAGCGATCCTATCGTTAGGCGTGATAACGTATATTAATCTCATCAGCGTCAAGGTCTACGTGAAAGTGCAAAACGTGTTCACCGTGTTCAAGATACTCGCCTGCGTTGTGGTGATCGCCGGAGGGATCTGGTGGCTGGGCACAGGTCACGTAGAGCTCCTCCAGCACCCGTTTCGCGGCACCACCACGTCAGCCGGCAACATCGCCCTGGCCTTCTATAGCGGTCTGTGGGCGTACGACGGCTGGACCTCGGCCGCGATCGTCACCGAAGAGATACAGAAGCCCGAAATCAATATTCTCAGAAGCACCCTCATTGCGGTGCCGACCATCACCGTGCTGTACGTGTTCATGAATTTGATGTACATGTCGGCTCTGACGACACAGGAGATGGTGAGCGCGCCGGCGGTGGCGGTCTTCTGGGCGGAACGAGTTCTGCCGTCCTGGATGGGATTTCTAATACCACTTGGCGTCGCTTTGTCGACCTTCGGCTGCGCCCTCAGCGTGCAGTTTAGCGTGGCTCGGCTGTGCTTCGTTGCGGGCCAGGAAGGCCACGTGCCGCGTGTCTTCAGCTACGTTCACATTAAGAAATTGACACCGGCCGCGGCGGTGATCTTCCAGGGTCTGCTCTCGCTCACGTGCCTGATGATAGGCGACATAATCGCTCTGATCGAGTTCGCCAGTTTTCTCATGTGGGTGTTCTACGGATTCGCGATGGTGTCGCTCATAATCATGAGACGGACGAAATCGGACGCGCCCCGACCGTATCGCGTGCCCATCGTGATACCGTGGCTGGTGCTGGTCGTCTCTATTTTTCTCTCGGTGCTTCCGATGATTTACGAACCGTCGACCAAGTATCTATTCGCGCTCGCGTTTATTCTACTCGGCGTACTCGTGTATCACGTGTACGTGTACAAGAAAGTGAGGAGCACTTTGTCAGGTGAGTATATCCGGATAAGTTATATTTGCACCGCGAGAATTTCTTGCATAAGGAGCTTAAGCGTTGTAGCTCTGCAAAGCGCATTTACTTAATTTGCTTTCTCTTCCAATCAAAAATAATTACGCAGTGAGATATATTTATATCTCTTTTTTTTTTTCAGCCAAACTGACATACTTTATACAAGCATTGTGTCTAGTTGTCGCGCCAGACAAACAAGAAGACTGACTGCAGATATTTCGCATCTATATCACTCGTGTATATAAGCGTTATGTTTACTCAGATGATGCATTTACTCTCTACTTTACATTTATATGTACAGAAAACAGAGTAGAGGACGTGAAGGTCTTCACATTCGCGAGAGAAACAACACAATATTCTGCGTATCTTTTTATTTCCCAAAATGGATCAAAACTTCAGTCTTTGTGCGATATAAGCATTGAATAGAGACAACAATGGTGCCTTATATTTTCTAAGCCAGTTGACAATAAGATCTATTTTGTAAAACTTCGGTAGTATACACAACTGGTATTTTATATCAAACAATATATCGATATTATATATATCTTTTTTTTATGAATAAAAGCAATATATAATATTGTATATGTTATATAAATAGGTAGTTGTGAAAAATGTGTATAAATAGAAGATAAACGTTTTGTATATTTTTGTGCTATATATTGTGCCAATAAATATCACTTTTCAAACATTTTCTTAGATATAATAAGCGTGTCAGACGATAAAATAACACGTTACACGTAATTTGTAATATATTATTTTTTTAATACATGTGTATGTCGCACGTTTATTATATCTAACAACAACATTGTATATGCTATATATAGATAGAAAATAATATAAATAAAAACATTTAAATCGACATTATTAAAAGACAATCTTCTTTTCAGGTTTTTATAACACGCTAAGAAATATAAGCAAATCAATTATTATTACAGAATGTTAACTCAATCTTGATAAATAAGATTTTCTAATTGTGAAATATATCAAAGAGTAAAATTATCTCGAGAAGAAAATTTTATCAACAATTCTTTGAATATCGAAAGTTCTTTTTTTTAATGAACATCCTGTATTACTTATATTTTGACACAATTAACGATAATTTTTTTTCAAATAAATAAGATACAATGAAATTTCTCTAAAATGAGATTTGATGAGATAAAAACTTATTTAAAAAATATTACTTTTATACCCAATATTTCATTCTCCCGTAGTTTTCCTTTGTGCTATTGGACAAAATTTGAAATTGCTGTAATTATGTAAAAAACTACTTTTTCAATCCTTTGGAACGTATGATATTTAATAGTAAAACTTTCAAAAAGATTATCACACTTAGATAATCGATTTAAGATAATCGATTTGTGTAATTGGACGTTAATATTATGATAATATAAGAGCACTTCTTCATAGAATAAAATTGTAAATACATATAAAAGACGAGTTGTATATAAAATACAAACTTTTTGTATATATGTGAGAGAGATAATGTAGATCTATAGGTAAAAATACTCGTGATACATTTGACAAAAAAGCAATCAAACATAAATAAAACTTTCTGCAATACTGATAACATTGCTACCGATATAACAATTACAATAAAATATCCTACATATAAAATACTTTTTAATATCTTGTGCAACAAGTCTGTAAAAAATATCTTCTTCGTAGTATTCTATGTTCTTGTATAACAGCATTGCTCTTTTCAATTTCTATAAAACTTAACATTATTAGATCTAGAACATCACACGATCCAATCTACAACATTGCTACTGGGTTGCACCACATTTCGAACAGGTTTGTCTCTCACTGAAATAATGCTAGTTATTTCTCTTCTTTGTTTGAATAAAAAAAAAACACTCTGTTTTAACTTACCTTAATATCTGATGGAACTTCTTTCGTAATTCATTATATCGTGCTTTTTCAGATGTAAGCGCCGCTTCACATTCTCTCAATTGTTGCCTCAAAGTGTAAATTGTATCCTCCAGTGCTTCGAATATTGCCTGAAGAAGTCAAAGCATTTTGTTAAATGGTATGACAATTGCAATGCACAAATGTAATTTGTTTTACACACGGTTCAGAACTCACTCTAGATTCTTCTGCCGTATCGGACAACACAGGAGGTTCATCCAAACAGAAGAATTCTCTCACGCACGAAACGCCTATCAGAATCGGACTGCTCAATATGCCATTGACAAACGCTTGAAGCCCGTGTATTCTCTCTTCCAGGAAGCTGGGAGCGAAATTATCACCGAGCCACTTTTTTCTTGGTAATGACAAGTGAGCAATAGGAACTTTCTGTCTCTTCAATTGAGCCAGCAATCTAACGAAGTCTGTGTATCTTCTAAATACAAACCAGCAATCACCTGTTTTCAATTCAACTCGGAGTTTGTATACCTGTGTGTTAAAACAAGATATTTGCTTTTACATTACATGTATGTAATATATTCTTTTTGTTGTTATTCTATACAGTATAACAACAAACTGACTGTAAATCTGGCTCTCTCCTCCATGATCTCATAACCGACAATAGGTATTCTCAGGTCATCGCTAGTGAGGGGTGATTGATGAAGAACATTTGTGTTGGGATTGTTCTCATTGGTATAGTCGTATCGTTGCACAGTGAATGAATTCGATTGGCCGGATCCATCGGAGTCAGGACTATCGAGAACTCTCACAGTACCTGCTTGAGAACTTCTCGCTTTACTAATTGCAAGTGTTACTTCGCTAATGCACCCCACGCCAGCCTCAGAACTGGACATTTTAACTCCGACAAACTAAACAAAATCATGCACACTTAAAACAGAAGAAATAAAGCCCCAGTTTTTTTTATCTCGCATCTGATTCGCCATCTCGAACAGTTTTTTAAGCGTTTTTCAACTAATAATTTTTTATTAAGCAAAGACAAAAATTACAAAACGCGTGTTTCGCACAACCACACACTCAGTGCGCGTAAATTTCATGTTTGCAAGAGAAAACTTTTGCGTAACGTAAGAAGCACTGAGTATCCGTTCAGAAAAAAATCAAATTGCATGCTGCTTAATTAACACACGTCTGTGTACTAACCTCAATCGCTTACAAAATAACGAGCATCCAATTCCCACATTTACCGCTTGTTTTATTGTCTTACAACGTATATCACAATTGTTCGAACCATATTTGGAGCAATTTGACGTCAAATTATCGTGAAAAAGTCGCCTGACATTTTTTCGGTGTTGACATATTGAAAGTTTGCGAATAATTCGATTCGGACGAATGAAACTTGTAAGAGAGCGAACTCGATAGATACTCTCGAAGTTACTTTTGTCCGCACCGGGCAAGCAAATTAGAATAATTAGCACACACCTCCCCTTTCGTGAAGCAAACCAAATCGCAACGTGTTCGATGACATTTAACGTCATGTGTCTTTTCGTAAGGAAAATTCAAAAAAGAACTCTCGAGCGTCACGACGGCGCAAGAGGCAGATGCGCCATATTTAAATTTTGCAAATCTCATTATGCGCATATCTTAACATTTTTTTTAATATCAAATAAACACACATGTTCGTACAAATCCTTCAACTTCTGAATTTGCATATAGAAATTAATTAACAACTCGTATTTTGTCGCGGACAATTTTAGTTTTTTTTTTTTTTTTTTTTTTGTATATCCGCTCTCTCCGTTTTAAATGTTGCGTCTTCTGGAAAAGTGTATCAAATTTATAAGTGCGCAATCCCGGGATGTGCGACGTCCTTGCGAACGACGGCGACCTTTCGGATGAAATCGACTGAAGCAAATTTCACTGCGTCGCGACACGCGTGATCTTCTTATCAAGGTGCGCGGAACGGCATCGCGCTTTATTAGAACCGGCGCGTTTGTTTAACAAGGGTTAAGTTCGAGGGTCTCCATCGACCCGACTCCCAAGACTCTTTTTGCGATGATCAATCAGGTGTGTGCTCGGGCTCGACTTCCGTACGACGGGACGTACGTATCCCCGGGAGCCGGGCAATGCCAGGATTTGCGCGTCCTCATTGAGAGTTATTTTTACGCTCATTATACTTTTGCCATTTTTCCTTGGTCGAAGACAATAATAAAGAAGACGGCCTCGGCCTTCGGTCGCGCGGCATTGTACATATCGTACTGACGCGCCAATAATTTCGTTTCTGAGAAGTTACATAATTGCGCGCCGCGCTACGTGAAATGTAAATCCAAGCTACTTCGATAACGAAAGTAGAGCACGCAATTAATGTATCACTTAAACGACTTGATTAAAACGCGAGATAATACACACACGCGCGTAATCGGTTTGCCGATATGCCGCAGCACATCGACCGTGAACGCTTCGATGAAAAATAAAGGAAAGGAGGAGACGCGATGCTCGATCGCTAAAAATAAAAAAGACGACTTTCCTCAAAGGCAGCGTAAAGACAACACGTCTGAGAGAAGAGAAAAAAAACAATTAACTGAAAATTTTCACTTCCTGTAAAGATCAAGTTTCGCACACACGCCACGCAGTGTCGCGTGGTGTGTGCGAAATCTTATTTTGTCACAACAATCGAAGAGCAAAATCAAGTTCGATCGGTGAAATCGATTTCACCAGCAGTGATTCGAGATAATTTCGAGAGTGAGTTTTAAACCTCTCGACCGGACATCACGCCATCGATCTCTCGCGCACGCGCACTTGATCAACCAACATGCACGCTCACGTGCGGAAAAACAGTTTTTCTCTGAATATCAGATGTGCCGACGTGTGTCCTCTCACGTTGTTTGATATGCGAACGACGACGATGGCGAGCAATGTGTGGGGTGTTTTGCGCCGTTGCATGAGAGGTCGGTTGCACAACCAACACTTGATTCCACACGAACACCTGCAAAATAACTGTATGCATTTTTGCGCCGCTGCTTATCTGCGCTCTCGCATCTCGCCGATTACAAGAAACATAAACATGCGATTAGAGACCGTCCGATAAATGCAACGTGTCGCACTTTTTTTTTCAAACAAACTCGAAAGTATCACGATTTGAACGTCGCGGTTCAGACGACGAACAAACATATTGATAAATTACTGCTACCTTCTCGGCGTAAAAAGCAGGATTGAATTTTCTATTATCAAATTACGCCGCGTTGAAAGACTATTTTCGCGAACGAACCGAGTCACGTCGATTTCAAAATGTACAATACCGTTTCGTTCACGAGTTTGAACGTTGACTTCTTCCAACCGTTTTACAATCGCCACGTGTGCTTTTGGCGGGCGAACCGGCGGATTTAGGCGGCAAACCGGTCAGGTTTCATTGGGTTAGTTTAGGTGGTAGTTGTGTGCCGAAGTTTTTTGCCGAGAGAAACTCGCGAAGTAATAATTTCACTATGTCAGGAAACGAAGAACTGATTCTCAGATACGCAAAGTTGTCAGAAAACGCGTACGCACCAATGAAAGGCTCGACATATGCAGCAGGCTACGATTTGCGAAGGTAAATCGCAAAATTATTTCAAGCTTCTTCCCAATTGGCATCACTTTTCATTGACGAACAGTGCGGTTGCTAGCTGAAAAGGCAATGTAACATCTAGCTTTTTGTTCACGCAGTGCTTACAAGTACATCATTCCAGCCCACGGAAAAGAATTAATCAAGACTGATTTGCAAATCGAAGTTCCTCCCGGTACGTAC